GGAGCTGGAATGTAAACATTGATTTGTTCTTCTGTCTTTTTTGCTTTCATAGTGTTTTTCAGCCCATCATAGTGTTGTTGTTTTTTTTTTAAAAAGGTAAAGCCAGAGTAAAATTGTAGATGTTGCATGTTATTGTAATGCAATAAACTAGAACAGGGATTAAGAAAAGTCTCATTTGGTAAGATTTATTTTCCTATGCCCAAAAAGTTGTATCCATTTAAAAACATGTAGGGTAGTACTCTGCTTTTTACTAAGCCAATAACAGACTTTGCTGACTTGATTCTCTGGTTTTATAGATGCTCTGCTGATGTCAGTTGTATGTTTGATGGGAAGAGTAGCGCACTCTGTTAATAAGATTTAAGCTGTTTCATGCTCAGTGCTTCATTCTTAACATTGCTGAAGTTGTCTGTGATCATTTCAGTGTTTGCTTGGGCCACTCTAAAATATTTAAACTATTTCTGCAGTTAGCATGAAGACGGTCTCAACTAATTAAGTTTTGGACAGGTGGCAGACTTGTCCAGGACATTTAAATCTAGATGTAAATCCATTCTAAAAGGTTGATGGACAAATGAAAACACATCATTGCAGGTTTGGTATCCCTACCACAAGTTATGAAACAGATATTTGCAAACCTTTCCCATTGTTCCAGCAGATGACAAATAAACAAGTGGGTTTAGGGAAAGCAGGGACTTGAAAGATGCCACGTGCTGAAGTATAGGTATGCATTATAATAGTAATTTTTGTCATGTGCCCTTGGAGCCGTAAAATTAACACTTTATAAATGTACGCCTCACCTGTAGAAATGAATCCTTGAGTTTATATTTTACACCTTGTAAAAATGTGAATGTGGCTTTATGCAGGTAAATTATTTATCGTAGAGACCCTTTGACAACTGTAAAAAGTCTTCAGCAAGCGTGGACCTTGAGGCTTTGTGATGTGATAGCTTGTGTTCAAATGATGAATAATTAAATTAAACTAATTAGTCAAAACTTATTTGCTCTAGGAACTTTGTGAATGAGATGTTCTCCTTTGCACCCTTTGCAGTTATATCATGTTTTGTAATACAAGATAAGTAAAACAATTAAGCAGGTTCTTAACAGTTATGTCCAAACCAATGGAAAGTGACCAAATTTAAGAAGACTTAAAATTGCAAGATAATTACCATGATACAGCAGAATTGATGATTTAATTATTCCATTCTGCAGTGACTTTTGGCAGTTTTTAACCATTATTTAGAAAGTTGTTTTGCCTTGATTTCCAAGGAATACATTTGTTAGATAAATACAGGGCAATACTGTATTTCAATGCAATTAACTTTCGTTGATAAATAATTCAACTTAAGACTAAATAAATGATTAGAGGCAAAGAAAATGACATGAAATTAAACTGAGTCAGACCTTGAAAAGATTTCACCAGCAAAGATTTTTTTGAGACTGTTTCAAATCATTTGCTTTTTTTTCCTGGGGTAAATGGATAAAGAAGGGGGTGTGTCAGGTAAGGGGAACAGTTTTTTGGCTAACCATTGCCATACTGCTGTAAGTACAGCAAACAGTGCGGACACTGAAGACAAGTCACAAGAGGGAAGGAGACTGTATGTTGGGAATTTTTTTCCTTAGTATCTATTTTTTTTATTGAAGTCACTGCTATAGGATCCAGAAGTCTGCAGGTGTAACATGGAGTGGTTCTTTTTGTTTCACTGAGAAATGAAAACCAGGAAAATTTTTACAATCTACTTTGGATGCTAACTTTTTAATATGTCAGTATGTTTAAAAATAACATTTCTTTGTGTGTTTTAAAGTAAAATTTGATGTAAAATGAATTCTGTTTTCCAGTGAAACATTGTGGCTAGGGTTCCTTTTTAAATTTTTTTTAAATAAACTTTTTTAAAGTTTTTGCTAAGATTTACCAAAGTCAGTAGTGAGCCTTAGGGGTGGGCCTCTGTTTAATATCCTTCCTTCCAGATACAGGTAATAAAAAATAAGAAATAACTGCATATTTAAAAATAAGTAGAGATGATTGTCGAGGTGTAGTATTCATTCATGGAACTTTTGTGAGAGATTTACAGCCCATGTGCTTGCTTTTTGACCAGTGGTTATACTCTGATCAAGATTATGAAGCTTCTGTTCCCCATCTCCACCTTCCTTTCTGTTATCGTGTTTCAATGTAAGAAAAATACGGAGTTGGTGTGTTGCATAACGTTTGTTCAATGCAAATAGAAATATGCGTAAACATAGAATATATTCTTAACAGGGCTGTAGCTGCTCATTTCCCATTAATGCCAAAGGCAGTAGTGTAATTAACAGCCTCATGTATTGAACTGAAAGTATTGCTAAACCTCTTCAGGGAATTGTTTCATTTATTGTGCTGTTTAACTTCCCTGGACAATACAAATGCTATTTATACTCTTGATGCAGTCCTAAACCCTGATTCTTTTTTAAGGGTTTAGGTATCTAACATCCATCGAAATCAATTTTAGTACTGTTTGTTTTATTTAATATTTTTGTAGATGTGATCTCTAATCTGAATTAGACATTGCATTTTTCATGGATTGAATATGATCAAAATTTGATCTTGTGTGAATTTGGTTGTGGGAACAAGCTGCAGCTGAAAAGCCCAGTCTGTTGGTGGCTTCAGTGTGACTAGAAGTGTGACTGAGTCAGTAGCGCAATAGCTCCATAGCTGAAAAAAATGAGAACTGTTGTTTTTCTAATGTAGTCAAGTCCATATTGGGTTGATTGTCACAAAAAACCTCTGCATTCATATTCTTTTGTTTATATATTCTGGAAACATGAGAAGTTTAAAATGCTGCTAATCTCTTAAATGGTTGGGGGGGTGTATAAATACTTTTTTTTTTTTTTTTTAACACATCATTATTTG